CCCCGAGGACGACGAGCCGCCGCCGCTCCCCTACGACTCGGACGACGCGCCGCCGCCGCTCCCCTACGACTCGGACGACGCGCCGTCGGACGACGCGCCGTCGGACGACGAGCCGCCGCGGCTCCCGTACGACGCGCCGTCGGACGACGAGCGGCCGCCGCCGGCCTACGGCGACGGGTCGTCCGACGACGAGCCGCGCCGCGTCGGCGGCGCCCCGCCGGAGCGGCAGATCCTCGTGACCTTCCGGGGCGGCGCCGCGGCCCCGTCGCCGGCGGCGGCGCTCGCGGCGCGCGCGCGCGCGGAGCTGCCCGGCGCGGACCTCGCCGCCGCGCGCGCGGCCGTCGCGGCCCTCGACGGCGTCGCGTCCGACGACGACGCGGGGCTCGACGGCGCGCGCGGCGCGCTCGACGCCGCGCTCCGGCGCGCGCCGGGCCTCGCGCTCCGCGTCCGCGGCCTCTGCGGCGCCTCGGCGGGCGCCGCGGCGGCGCCGCCGCCCCTCGGCGACGGCGCGGCGGCGCTCCTCGGCCGCCTCGACGCGCTCCGCGCGGCCGCGGAGCGGCGCCTGCCCGCGGCGGCCTTCGCGGCCTTCGCCGCCGCCGCGGCGCGCGCCGCCGCGGCGGCGCGGTCGCGCGGGCCCGACGCGTTCCTCCGGGAGGCCGCCGCGCTCGAGCAGGGCCACCTCGCCGGGCCCGCGCCGGACCTCGCGGGCGACCTCCGCGCCCTGGCCCGGCGCGCCGGCGCCCACTTCTACGACCTCGAGCCCGACGAGCGCGGGCCGCGCCGGGCGGCCCGGCCCCTGGGCACGGGCCCCGACCGCGTCCCCGCCGCGCCGCCGAGGCCCGCGCCGGGCCGCCCGGGCGGACGCGACGGCACCGCCGACGGCGCGAAGCGGCGCTACATGGGCACGGGCCGGGACCGCCTCCGGGCGGAGGACGCGGGCCCGGCGCCCGGGCCCGCGGCGCCCGGCGGCGGCGACGCGCGGCCGTGGCTCCTCGCGATGCGCGCGGAGCTCGCGTGCCCCATCTGCCTCGACGTCCTCGAGGACGCGGCGGCGCTGCCCTGCGGCCACATCTTCTGCGACCCCTGCGTCTCCCGGGACCGCCAGATGCGCGAGTGCCCGGTCTGCCGCGCGTCCTTCCGCCGCCGCGCGGTCACGCCCGCGGCGACGGCGCGCGCCATGGTCGCGCTCCTCGGCGAAGCCGGCGCCCTCGACCTCTGAGGCGCGCGCGGACCCGTTACCCGCCCTTTTCCGTCTGCAAGTTGGACTTCAACATTTATGATGAACATTTTGCATTTTGCCGCAGAGCTGCCACTCGCGCCGCCGCCACCGCCCGCGCTGCGCGCGCGCGCCGTCGATCGCGATTGCGCGGTCCATGCGGGCCGCGCCGCAGGGCGGCACGGACTACATGGAGGTGGAGAACCCGCAGCCGGAGCTGAGCAGCAACATCCCGCCCTGCTCGCTCGTCTGGACGCCCATCGCGCCCATCACGTGCTGCCTGCCCTTCGTCGGCCACATGGGCCTGACGGACTCGCGGGGCTACCTCCACGACTGGCACGGCTGCGCGGTGACGCCGACGCACCCGCGGAACATGCTCTTCGGCGCGCCCGCGCGGTTCATCGTCCTCGCGCGGCCCGGCGGCGACGCGGAGTCGCGCGAGCGCTGGGACGGCGCGATCGCGCGCGCCGACGCGGAGTACGCGCACAAGCTGCACGTCATGGTCTGCGGCCACGACTGCCACTCGCACGTCGCGAGCGCGCTGAACGCCATGCGCTACGGCGGCTGCGGCTGCCACAACAAGGTCGCCCTCGCGGCGGCCGTCTTCTTCTTCGGCCGCCACGTGTCTCTGGGCGGGTTCCTGCGCACCTGGCTCCCCTGCCTCCTCGTCGCCGGCGTCCTCCTCCTCTTCCACGTCCTTTAAGACGACGTCCTACTGCTTGTTCTTGACGTCCGTGAGGAACGCGTCGAGGCCGAAGGGGTCCGCCTCCTCCTTCTGCGCCTCGAACTGGACGGGCTTGTCGCGGCTCCGCGGGCCGGCGCCCGCCGTGCCCGCGAAGCCCCGCTCGGGCGCGGCGAACTTGGACGACGCGGTCAGATCCGCGAGCTGCGCGTCGCCGTCGCCGTACTTGCCCGCGTCGGCCTCGCGCGGGCGGTAGATGGCCGTCGCGTCCTCGCGGTCGAGCAGGGGCTTCGAGTAGACGTTGTAGTCGCCGTCGTCGCCGAAGCCGCTGTCCATGCCCGAGGACTGGTTGAAGAGCCGCTTGTCGAACTGCGCCTCGCCCGCGAGCTTCGCCGTGCCCTTGAGCAGCCCCAGCGCGACCTTCTCGGAGACGTCGCGGTCGCGCTCGCGCTCGAGGCGGCTCCGCTTCATGTCGCCCTTGGCGTTGTCGAGGCGCATCTGCCGCTCGCGGTCGCGCTTCCGCTCGACGCGGACCTGCTCGCGCTCCGCGCGGCCCGCGGCGACGGCCGGGTCCTCGTCGGCGCCGCCGCCGAGCAGCTCGTCGCCGTCGTCGCCGAAGAAGGCCGCGGCGCCGTCGTCGCGCGGCCGCGGCGCCGCGGCGCCGCCGCGCCGGTCCGCGAGCTTGGCCCGCTCGTCGCGCGCGGACGCCGCGAGGTCGCGGAGCCGCGCCTCCTGGGCCTCCTTCTCCCGGAGCGCGTTCGAGTTGCGGATCTGCGCGCGCGCGCGCACGTCGTCGCGCGCGGACCGCTCGGCGATGTAGAGCGCCTCCGCCAGCGTCGCGAAGTCGTTGTTCACCGTCTGCTCCTGGAGGCCGCGGCCGTCCGCGGCGAGGCGCTTGTCGAGGGGGATGGTGTAGCCCCGCGCGTTCTTCCAGTTGGACACGCAGGGCGGGATCTTCCAGGACTGCTGGTCGTGGACCGTGACCTTGCGCGGCGGCGAGTGGAGCACGGGCACCGGCCTGTGTGGAAATCAAATATTCAACCCGACTTCAATGTGCGCTTATGCGACGGTTTCGACGCAAGGCTTTCTGCTGTGCTTCGAGAACTCGACGAGAGCAATCGATTCGTCCAAAAATCAGCCGAATCGACTTCGATGTGACCGAGATAGAGAGTTCTGAAGTTTGGTGGGGACCCCCCAAACCAGTGGTTGATTTCCACACGGGCACCGGCGGGCTCGGCGGGCCGCGCGGGATCTTCGTGTGCTTGTGCTTCGGCGGCGCCATGGGGTCGACCTGCTGGTCGACGAGCTTGACGATGCGCTGGGAGGCCGACGCGCTGTAGCCCGGCGCGCTCGGGTTCGGCGTGTAGCGCACGAACGTCGCCTTCTGCCGGTTCGGGTCGCACGCCTCGGGCACGTGCGTCGGCTTCGCCGAGTTGATCTTGCCGTCGAGGATCGCGCCCAGGGCCGCCTGCGTGCGCTGGGCGGCCGCCGCCTCGGCCTCGGCGCTCGGCAGCGCGAGCGCGTCCTCCGCGCCCTCCTTCTCCTTGACGTCCTCGAGCGACGTCTGCACGATCCGCCCCTTGTTCTCGCCCTGCTTCACGATCGCGTCGTACTTGACGGCGCCGTCCTCGCCGACCTCGAGGGCGACGACGGCCGTCGACGACGACCGCGCCTCCTCCTTCGTGCCCATGCCCAGGGGGTACTGCGCGACGTGGACCTCGGGGTACGCGCCGCCGTCGCCGAAGTCGCCGAGCGACCGCGGCACGAAGCCCCGCCGCGACCCGTAGCCCGGGATCTTCGCCGTCGTCCGCGCCGTACCGGGGGCGCTCTTCTTCCGCTTGTCCTCGTCCTTCCACACGACGTACTCGCGCGCCGGCGTCGGCAGGGCCCGGCTCAACGCCTGGCCGGGCGCGACGGACGACATGGTCTTCGGTGGTGCGTTTTCAGTGGCGCGCGGCTCGACGGGCGCGTCGCCCCGGGCCGCGGCTCGACGGGCGCGTCGACCGGGGCGTGTAGGCGGACGACGAGCTCGCGGGCGAGGCGAGATGAGGACTGAGGTCAGCCTTGCTGCGATGATGCATCATGATGCAGGCGGCAGGCGCGAGGCGTCGAGTTGTGGACAGAGTCAAGACCAGTCTCCCTTGCCCTGCCAGAGCCCTTGGGCCCCGGCGCCATGCCCCCCCGGTGGGCCCTGTAGCGCCGCCGGACACGTATGGCGTCCCTCGAGGGCGCCTTCGCCACGGCGCACCTCACGATCGTGCGCCACGGCGAGCGCGTCGACGAAACCGCCGGCGCGGCGGCGTGGAAGCAGAGCGTGCCGCGGTGCCGCCACTTCGACCCGCCCCTGACGTCGCAGGGCGCGGCGCAGAGCCGCGTCGCCGCCGAGTTCCTGGCGGCCCAGCCCGCGGGCCACTTCGACCGCATCTTCTGCTCGCCGTGCGCGCGGACGCTCGGCACGGCGCGCGAGCTCAGCGACGCGCTCGGCGGGCTGCCCGTGACCGTCGTCCCGGCGCTCGCCGCCTGCGCGGCCGCCGTGAAGAAGCACGGCCTCGAGCGCCTGCCGTTCCTCGCGGACGCGGACATGGCCTCCATCTGCCCGGCGGTCGACGGCGTCGACGAGGCCGCGCCCCGGGGCTTCGAGGCGGCCTGCGCCTGGCTCGCGGGGCGCTCGGACCACGTGCTCGTCGTGAGCCACCGCGAGGGCATCCGCGACCT